GAGAGAACCAAACTGAAGAAAGTCCAAGGAGAAGCCAACTCTAAAGGCCTAAAGGATTTTAATTTCAACTCGTGAGATTTGGGGGAAGGTACCCAGTCAAACCCACAGTAAATCCTGTTGTTGAGCAAACACAGACCTCTTTGTTTAGTATAAGCGGTAAGAAAAAAAAATCGCCAAATGTGTGAAAAGATTCAGTAGTCCAAAGAAAGGGTTTATTCTGAGGAACTGGAAGAAGCACTCCCCAATGAAACAAACCTATGAAATGGAGAAAACTTTTCAGCGAAGTCCCTAAGATATATTTTCAGTGGAAATTGAGAGTATTGCATCTTTGAAAAAGATCTCATCGTAGGCAATGATGACTTGAAACACAATCACAAAGCCAGGTTTACAAATGCAACATCCCCTACGAAACTGCTGCATCTGGAAATTGAGCCTCCGTGGCTGTAAGCACCAAGACAGGAGAGACCACGAGCTCCCGGACAGGACACACAGCCACTTAGAAAGCAGTGCTCTCCGCCGCCCACCCCCCATTCCAACAAAGGAACAGCACCTCCTGCAGGAAGCTGTACGTCAAGTAAGTTGCTCAAGAAACTGCAAAGGAGGGAGAGAGAGATTTGCCAAGCAATACCAGTGGCAAAGTACAGACATTATGTGGATGCTATTTCAAATATTTATGAAATAATTGGAAACTTGAACACTAATAATGGCTTGTATTGAATAAATACTGTCAAGTTTTTAAGATACAGTAATTCGTGTTGTTTTTTTTTTAATTCTGTATTTTAGTGGTAACCACTGCAATGCTTATAGACAAAGCAAGATGTCGGGGATTTGCTCACCAGCAATGAGAGGAGGAGAGCGGAGGGGTGAAGACGGAACAAGACTGGCCAGGAGTCGACGTCCTGGGCTGGGCGATGGGCACGTGGGGGGTTATTACACTTTTCTACTTTTGTGTGTGTTTGAAAATGACCTAAATTGCTTAAAAATCGCACTAGAAGGCATGAGCGAGAGGTTTGGTATTCTGGGAAACCCAGTCAGTGACTTAGCTCAGGAGATTCTCCCAGATCTTAGAGGACGTGGGAAGAGAACGAGTGAAACTGGATGAAACTTAGAGGAGAAACCTGGGAACTGCAGTGTGAGCGTAAAATCGGGATCCCAGGAGGTGTGAACAGAACTGACAGAGGCCGGGCAAGGGCCTTCATTAAAGAACATTTCTATTATTGGTCTCTTCTTTAGCCAAATGAGCTGCTTAGCCATAGTCTATACATCCAACGATGCAGAGATTTAAACATTTTTTTATTCTTAACTTCTGACTTACTCGTGTGTAGTTAGGGAACGTGTTCCACATGACACCTATTTTTAAAATCTTTCGAGACTTGCTCTCATGCCTAGACTCAGAGCAGCTTTTAGAAACATTCCAAGTGCTTGAGAAGAATGCTATTCTCTAATTTTTGGATGCAGAGTTCTAAACATGCCCTCCGGTCACTTCTAGACCTTGCTTAGTTTTTGCCTGCCTGACATCAAAAGTATAGGAATTGCCTACTGGCAGGTGGATTTATCCATTTTTCCCCCTATAGTCCTATCCATTTGTACTGTATGAAGTTGGAGGCTGTCTGATTGGGTACATGTGTTTAAAAATGGACTCTTGTTTTTTTAAATTGTCGTTCGAGTACAATTGTCTCCATGTCCCCCCCACTGCTCCCACCCACCCCAGCCATCCCCACCTCCCACCCTCAACTCTACCCACCTTTGGCTTTGTCCATGGGTCCTTTACACATGCCCCTTAATGACCCTTCCCTCTTTTCCCCCAGTACTCCCTCCTACCTCCCCTCTGGTTACTGCAGTTTGTTCTTTATTTCAATGTCTCTGGTTATATTTTGCTTGCTTGTTTTGTTGATTAGGTTCCACTTATAGGTGGGATCATATGATATTTGCCCCTCACTGCCTGGCTTATTCCACTCAGCATAATGCTTTCTAGTTCCATCCATGCTTTCTTTCTGCTGAGTATTATTCCATTGTGTAAATATACCACAGTTTTTTAATCCGCTCATTTACCGAGGGCACCTAGGTTGCTTCCAGCACTTGGCTATTGTAAATGGTGCTGCTATGAATATTGGGGTGCACAGGTTCTTTTGAGCTGGTATTTCAGGACTCTAGGGTAGCAGTGGAATGGCCGGGTCAAAAGGCAGTTCCATTAAAAATGGACTCTTCTTTGAAAATTGAACCTTTGTATCATTATATCAGGAACTCCTGATCCTTAACAATGGTTTTTATCTTAGGACATAGTTTGTCTGAAAATAATGAGATAATTAATATTTGCCTGTGTGATTTTTTCCCTTATCCTTCTACTTTCAACTTGACCTACCCTTATGTGAACCAGGGCTCCTAAACCCAGCTGTGGTCAAGGATCGGTTGTTTTTTTTGTTTTTCCCAATCTATTATAGGCTCTAAGGCTTTTGTAAAATGTTTTTTTAAATAATAAATAGAATTCTGGAAGTGTATTTTACTAAAATTAAAGTACAAGCCAGGTATTCTGGCATTAGATTCAACACACATAAAGTAACTGTCAAGTTGCTTTGAAAATTTTATAAAGCTTTTAAACGTCTCTAAGACACTCTTGGCTTCTGAGCATCCCTGTCGCAGCCACACTTCCGAACACCAGTGTCAACACAGCATGCATCAGGATTTTGTTCTGCCATCCGGTCTAACAGTGTACCTTTTCATTGGCAAGCTTGGTCCATTTATAGTTCTTGGTCGTCCATTTATAGTTCTTAGTACATTTGGGCCCACGTCTCTCACCTCTGTAGGTCTCCTCTCTTTCCCCGTCACCAAGGTGACATGGCCTTAAATGGTACTCTGAGATACAGATTTTCTTCTCTCCTTCAGCCCACCTCTTTTTTATGCCCAGGTGCTACAGACTGTGTCCTCCAGAATTCATGTGTTGAAACCTAACCCCTAACATGACAGAATCTGGAGGTGGAGACCTCCACCTTTGGGAGGTGATTCTGGCATGAGGTCAGAGCCCTCATCAATGGGGTTAGTCCTCATAGAAGAGGTCCCAAGAGACAGATCCTTGACCCCTTCCACCCTGCGAAGACACCGCAAGAAGATGGCCGTCTATGAACCAGGAAGGGGGTCCTCACCAGATACTGAGTCTGCCAGTGCCTTGACTTCCAGCCTCCCAAACTGTGAGAAATGTTTAGTTTTAAGCTGCCCAAACTATGGTTTTCTGTGATGGCAGACAGACGGACCAGGATACCAGGTTTACCAAGGTATCTCTTGCTCGCTTTTCCCTCAGTTATCTCCCACCGCACTTCCTGGGTTCGTTTCTCCTCACATTGAAGTAATTCCTGCGAAGTATGTAGGTAGGGGCTTTTGAGTGGCCAGACATAAAACTCTAAGTTCAGAGTGCTTTCCCTTGAGTCTTTGAATGGGAAACTCCGCAAACAGGGTTGCTACTGGAAAACCTGGTGTCCACTGGTTCCAATGCTTCAGGTCTTGCCTCCGCTCATTCTCTCTGGAAGCTTCCAGAATGATCTTTGTCTTTGTGAACACTAAATTTCACTACCTGGCAGTGAAGACGGATGAAGTGTATTCTAGGTGTGTAGCAGCATGAACCCCAACCACGAGTGAAACGTGACAACGCACACACTGTATCGTGCCTTTTCCGTAATGTTCAAAAACATGCTGCATTAAAAACTACTGGTAACTTGTTTAGGGCTATGTATACATACCAGAATGATGAAGAAAGGCAAAGAATGAATAAACCCAAAGTCCGGGTGGTCATTCTCTCTTGGTGAGGGATTGGGGATGCAACAGGAGAGGCCCGTGGGGGCGGGGCTTGTCTGAAGCGTCGGTGAAGTCCCGGCTGCTGCCATCATCCCAGCTGGGGGTGGGAACGTGGGTGTTCTTTTCATTTTAGAAAATACTTTACCTTCAAGTGTAAAGTGTAATACTTTACACTTTAGTATTATGTATAAAGTATTTAGTATTATACTTATGTATAAAATATTAAGTAGTACTTTAGTACTAAAAAAGTATGACAAGTATAATACTTTACACTTTTATAGTAAAAGTACTTTTTACTATAAAGCAAAAATACTTCATACATTTATAAATGTATACTTTATACATTTTCATGCATATAAACATAATATTAAACATTTCACTGCATGACTGGTTGTCTAGCAATGGCTCACGGGTCAGGACATTGGGGACAGAGGAGTAGCTGTGGGGTCACTCATGGCCCAAACTGTGAGACGCATCAGGGACACAGATGGGAATGAGGGAGCTCTAAGTTTTCTCTCAATTAGGACACTGAGGCACCTCTGGACCCATCTTCTCAGCCCAGTGGGGAGCCACGCCTCTGACTGAGCCAGCAGGCTTGGCTCATTTCCTGCTCATCTAAATACTCAGTGGGCCTGAAGTAACCAAGGCTGCTCTTGGAGCTTTGGATTCCACCATGTGGGCAGTCTTTCTGGTCACCGGTCCCTAAAAGAGCCCTAATGTCTAGGTGTTGCTGCCTTAACGAGAAACTCATGATTTCACTCAAAGTCCAGCCGTCGTGCATCCTGAGGCCTCAGCGTCCCCTCAGGCATCCTCCAAGGAGCCCATAATGGTTCTCCAGGCATCTTGCAGGTACCCGACAGTGATAATGACTGTGAACTGAACAATCAACTGAAAAATAATCAACTGAATTATTTTTTTATCCTCACCTGAAGACATGCTTACTGATTTCACAGAGAAGGGAGGGAGAGAAACATCAATATGAGCATGAAGCTTCAATTGGCCGTCTCTCGCACACACCCTGAGCAGGGCCCGAACCCACGCCCCAGGCATGTGCCCTAACTGGGAACTGAACCTGTGACCTTTCAGTCCACAGGACAACAGTCCAACTGAGCAGTACCAACCAGAGCTGAATTGAACTTTTTATTAGTTGACTTCCCTCCCTTGGGGAAATGACTCTAATTCATGACAAGCTTCTTAAAGACGGGCCAAAGGAAGCACGTGAACAGCAGAACTGCGTCCAGGAGAGCTTTTATTTGTACGGAACAGTTTTAAAAATACAGAATAAAATAGCTTTATCTCTACTATTATTCACAACATCTGGTCCAAATATTACATATTTTTAAAATACTTAAACGTTTAATGAAGCCATGTTAGAAAAACAATATGAAAATTCTTTTTAAAAACTCCGTAAAAGAATTACACATCTCAAAAAACAATCCCACCCTAAATACCCTCAGTATGCAAAATAAAAAAACAAACAAAATCCCAAAAAGGTACATAGCCAAAGTCGGTCACAAAAACTCAAAGAAAATATAGGCACCCCCACTGTTTTAAGAACAGTCAGAAATTTATTAACATGTCAAACAAAGGCTGTTATGAACGAACGAAACAGCGTTAACTTGAACTGTCAGTGAGACGGCTACGCCGGCAAGCGGCTCCTGAATGGCAGGAAACACGCAGCAAGTCTAAGGACGCTGGAAGCTACTTGTGTAGAACGACGACGAGGCCTAGTCAAGAACCTAGAAGGACAGGAATGTGTGCGAGACTGCTGCTAAGGGACCCCCCAGCAGGGACACGCTTTCGGGGTCCGTGGGCGGAAACTGAACACTGGCAAAAAGGGTGGTCTTCTTGCACTGCTTGGGTTGTGACTTTAGGTGGGGTAGAGGCAGGGGAGCCTTACTGTTCTCCCTGTCCAAGCCATAAGGGGACAGAGCACAACACATGCAGCGTGTGAGAACCCAAACCCTCTCCAAAGCCAAGGGGCAGTTTCCTGGAGAACGGGGCTCTGCCAGCGCTCAGGCACGTTCGTTCGCACAACCAGCACTGTCCGGGGGTGTGGCTGAGCGGGCCAGTGACAGCGGCGCCACGCCTGGTCCCGCGTTTGTGGCCGAGTGCACACACCCAAGCGCAGAGGTCTGCAGGGTGCTGCCTCTGCTCAGGCCAGACAAGTTCCGGAATGAGGTTCCCGCCCCAGCTCCTTATTCGCCTTCTCTCTAGCCTGGCCACTCTTGTGGCGTCAACGTTAAGGAAGATTATACTTCAAATCTAGGTTGCTAGTACCAGTATTTCAGCAGGGACATGATTAAAGTCGTAACAACTTAGCTCATTGTCATAAAATATATGCATGGGTAAATAAAGTATACACACGTACTAGAGATTCATCAATGGAGAAATTCTATCATCACATGACATTGTCATGAAAATTATATCATTCCCTCCCCGGAAAACTGTGACTATTATCCTGGGTAGAAATGTTATTTTACTATATGGAAATACTGCAATATTCATGCATAAACCAAGTTGTCATGAAAGTTAGTAATCTACAGCATAAAGCAAATCCCGTGTGTGCATTTGTTGCCATGAAAATGGGAAACCATCAGGACCCAATGATGCTTTACTCTAGCTGACCCGGTTAAGCCACTTCTCTTGTTCTGATCAATCACAAGAAACTCACTACGAGGTACATTTGATGCCTTCTAAGGGTACTCAGATTCAGTACCAATGAATGTAAGTTTGATTCCCTAATGAGAATGAGAAAGAAAATTGCTTACAGAGACTGGAGCTACTTCCCATTATTCTATGAACCATGTTTGGTATTTTATCCAAACCAGTGGTGGGGTCTCCGTGACCCACTCCACCAGGACATGGAAGCATCTGCTGTTCTTATAAATACTTTCTGCTTACTCATCATATCAGGATGGCTCATGTGAATGCGCTGATGTGGGTAGGTGGTCACTGAGGAAACTGGAGACTAAATGCCCTGCCCAAGGACATTTACATATAAAATATCGTAAAACATTCCATTGGCCCAACAAAGCAAGCAGGTGTGCAGCCCCAGCAGGGCCAGCCAACAGCGTAAGCAGGAGGTTCACAAGGACAAACCGTGCAAGGCCATGCTGGGCCTCCCAAACCTCCGCTGCAGTTCATGTGCTTAAACCCAAGGAGCAGATAAATACCTTTTCTTTCAATTAGGCTCAGTCTGTTGCCTATTTGCTAGCAGAAGGACCGCTTCCTAAAATGTGAAATGGTTGGCGTGGCTGCACGTGCAAGATTAGTTAACCTGCAGCTGCGATCAAGTGAGTGAATTTCACAGGCTGTGCAGAAAGTACCAGACTCAATGGGGCCTCCAGTGAGGCCGACCTCCTTCCTTCCTCCCTTGGACAGAGACTCTCAATTGGCCCCCATGGAACACGAAGGGCAAAAACCCTTTGCAACAGGCCCTCCCTCCATACACGAATGCTTGCAGACATGCTCTGGACCAGCAGATTTGAAACCTCCCAGTAACACCTGACCCAAGGAGGGGTTTCGGAAGGAAGTGGGTTTCTGGACACTTGAAGCACATACCCCGAGTGTTACCCACTGGTCAGGAGATAAGCAGTCATGTTAAGTTGAAAGGAACTTAACTTGTTTCTGAATTATTGATGGTTCAGATGCTTTTATTTGGGTGTTTGGGTCCTTCTGCTCACCTACAGAGCTGGAATACTGTAAACCTTTGGGATGTGTAATAGTTTTCCCCATTTTTTCAAAGCTGAGAAATTATAGATGCTGAGCAAAAATACAAATAGAAGGAACTAAGAGCAACTCAGAGGGCTGTCAGCCTCGAGGGCTTACCAGGTTAAAAGGATGAAACTCGTTAACCAACCTGTGCGCTTCAAAAGAAACTAGCATCAAATACACTTCGAGACAAGGTAACATACAAAACTAATACAATCTAAATTCTTTACTTAACCTGCAATAAGCTCTTGGCAAAACAATGAAGTGTTCTTGCCGGAACAAGCCTTGAAGCCCCAAACTTCACAGGAGTCGAGGAGCTGTGGTGACACAACACGGCCACAGACATCCCAGTTCGGGGGAGCGGAGGCGGCCTAGGGGCGGGAACACGCCCCCTGGCACAGGCCCTGGAGAACCAGAACGGGTCCTGCTGTTGGAGACAGCGGCGCCCTCTGCCATCCAAGGCTCAACCAGGTCAACGACCACTTAGAAAGCATGACCACATGCAGCAAGGTCACTACCTTATGCCTCAGGCTTTTCCTTTGGCTGAAAAATTTTCAAACCAAATTCAACACTAGTCTTTTTACTTTTCTCCTAGAAAGAATTTAGTGTTATTTAATCAGAACTCAACAGTGGGGACCTGCTGGCTGCCTTCCTCACCACTACCTTCTGCAATAACTTGAACAAGAACTGCAGTGTTTGGCCAGGGGATCTAACCTTCCCCTCGTGCAAAACCAGGCCCCGGGGGCATGCAACACGGCAACCACAGACAGTCTCTCCCGAAGCCGTAACTGCCAGAAATGACCAGCAACAGAACTGCAGTGGTGCATTTGCCAGCGCGCCAGACCGCTCAACAGGCAGCTGTTCGTTGCCTGCTCCGGCTTCCCTTCTCCACAAAACGAATTCACATGTAATGTAACCCGCGGTTTCTGGGCTCTGGTCCAGTAGTCAGTTTTGATAAATAGATTAAGCATTACAGTATTTACACTTTCATGGTATCAAGCAATACAAAACACAACCACAACAATGGTTACTGGCCTTCAAAAGCCATGACAACAAGCTTCCCTGATGGTGTCCACAGCTTTACAAATGCTGGTTCTTTCTCTAATGGGAAGGAGCAGGGGGACACAAGTAAGAAGGATGCAAGGTAAGAGGGTCACGTGGAAAAACACTGATTTCAAAAATCCGCTATAGTCAGTAACATCAAATAGGAATAAAAGCTTGTATTTATAGACACAGGTGACAAAAACTGACAGCCACATGACAGGAGAGCCAAGACTCCCATAAACACCTGCGTGGTGCCCCTGCGTGGCACTCTATTCCTGTCACACCACAGGAGTGAGAAATGCCAGGCAGAGTGTCTCAGCCACTAGTGAAGAGAGGCCAGTGTGAAATGCGCTGGCCCGGCCTGGGCCAGGGTGGCACCGAGATGGGGCAGCTGAGAACCAGATACTGACTTCTAGGTACTTCCCCCGCCACCTCCTGCTCCCCAGATGAATTCCCACGCTGACACTGCGTGTGCAGACCTTGCCCCTGCACAGATCGGGGCACAGGGTGGCTGTGTCACTGTCTGCAGTCAGGGCAACAGCCTCCTCCCACGAGAGAATCAGGCAACACAGAATCACATTTGACCAGTTGTGACGATGCGAGGACACTGGTGCCCCTTGACCACAGGAGGCCTCTGCGGTTCAGGCTGAGGTCAAATTAAAAAAAAAAATTTTTTTTAACTTAAAATATACCAAGCAAGTCCAGGTGCTTCCAGGACAGAAAGCACCCAGACCCTGGAGGCTTGTAAGAAAGCTAGCGTGGGCTGGGGAAGGGGGACTGAAAACAAAGAATCACTGTGGATTTCAAACATCTACTCCCACAGGAGGGCAGGAACTTCAAGTTCAGTCACCACAGCCAGCAGTGGACACTCTCAAGGGCAAGGGGTCAGGTCTTAAATAAGGAGATAGGTGAGACACCGTATTAGACACAATCACCAACTACAACAAAAAAAGCTATTTGCAATCTTAGCACTGGGGTGCAGAATGTAAATGCAGATATACAAACATATATGTTACTGCTTGTTACTCAGCAAGGAACTCCAGACTCATGCCTCACTGCGGCCGGGCCACAGGGCAAGCTACAGCTATACTGTGGCCTGCGAGTCCTCGTCTGAACTGCGGCTGTTTGCGCTCTTCCGGAAGCCTTTCCACGTGTAGCCCACAAAGGTTGGGCTGATGGGTAAGTAGCTGAAGCATCTGTACTTTTTAATAATGTTCATGCCAAATGGCAAATCGTAGGATTCCATGCCATCGAGCGACTTGCTCCCTTTGCCCACGCCCTTCTTCCACTTTCGGATTCCTCTCTCCTCCAGAGTACCTATGGATGGAAGACACACACGTCGGAACAAAAGAACGGAATGATCAGTTTAACGGTTCTACCCCGAACTGAGAGTCCAAGATGCTGTGCACAGGTGGAGCCCTCGGGGACGACAGCACAGCACACCTGGTGGCACTCAGCTCTCCAGGTGCCCGGGCCAGAAATCTGAGAATCGCTAACCCGCCCTCATTCCTTCTGCTCCAGATTCACATGACACTGCGATGCCGCTGCCTCCTGCTGGTCCTTCCAGGTGATGCGCGTTCTCCATTCTTACCGTGGAGTCCGGCCCAGGCCACGCCACTGCTTCGCAGGGTCGTCGTATCAGTTTCTCACCTGGCTGTCAGGTCTTCCACCTCGCCACCCGCTGCCCGAATTTGTTCTCAAACACTGCACCAACAATGGCCACAGCACAAACCCTTCTCTCCAAAGTGCAAATCTGATCTTGCAAAATGGGGCCCAGAGTACTTGTAATACCACATACGGCACGGCCATCGATTGGTCGTGGCAATCCCCGTCCAGACACACCAATTCCATACTGCCTTCTCTGTTTCAGTGAGTGTGTGTGCGCGCGTGTGTATGTGTGAGTGCACTGCACTCGTCACGTGTTCCCCACTTGCTGTGCTCCTGTGAGGATGAGCCGCCACCGGTGTAACACTCTGAGCTACTCTGCACCTGGACAGACAGGTCAGGGAGAAAGATCTCTCAGCAGCTCCTGGACTTTCTTTACAAGTCTTCCTAGTGCAGACAGCAGCACTGGCACCCAATCTGAGCTACAACAGGACTTAATAATACACTTCTGTGCCTGAGCCTGGGTGATGAGCGTTAGTCTGCAGTGCAATATTTAAGATCATCATTATCTCCTTACATGTAAGGTATGAACCCTCCTTACACGTAAGGTATGACCCCCTTACATGTAAGGTATCAGCTTTGCCACTGATATTTCAGTAACAAAGCTGACTTTAACTTCTTTTGCCTCTCCTTTCTTTGGTTGACTTAGGAGGAAAAGAGGATATTAGTTATTGACTCCTATAAATCTAACATCTTCCACCTAGTCATGTTATGTGATTCCTTTTGCCACATGTGTTCATCCTCAGTTTCCCCAGCAACCTCTTGACTGAGAGGAGAAAACCTCAATAAAACCTTTAAGCACAAGAATAAGCATCACCCTTCCTTGTGGCAGATGAATCTACCGGTGGATCTGCAGTATGTGACAATGGTACACAGCAGCCTCCTGTAGGAAGCCAGGAAGGCAACAAGGCAAAGCCCACAACGCATCCTACTCTGTCACCCGACACTGGGCACGACCCAGCTGAGAAACAAGAGTTGTGGGTGTCGGAGAAATGCTGCCTGCCTCCCTCGGTCGCTCACTGATCCTGGCCTCAGCCTGTGCCCACCACACTCACTGACACTTGGTTGTACTTGGCTGACAGCTGCCTTAGGAAGGACTCATTTAAAAGGCTGGCTCCCGAAGCAGAGAAGTGCCAGAGGCTATTACTAGTTGGCTCAGAAAGGGTGTGAAAGTCGATGAGACCGAACTGCAGGGCGCTGGGCAAGGCCTGGGAAGGAGAGCAGGCAGGCTGGCGTGTGCCCAAGGCCTCCCACTGCCACTGCACCACACACCGGGGATTTGTCTGCTTTTTCTGAAAAGTAACTCAGCAAAGAAAAAAACAACCCAGTAAGTTTATCGGCAAAAAACCTGATGCATAAAAGAAGGCTGGAAGTGCTATCTTAACCATTTCAGAAAAGACCGTTTTAACCAGTCATGGCTTTGAACTGACTCACTCTTCTTGCTTCCTATATTTATTGGGCAAAAAAGTAACTCACATAAGCAGTAAGTAGGTGTGACATAGAACACATACCTGGGATGGTGTTATCCAAAATAAAAGCCACACATCCTCCTACAAACATCGCCGTGGTGAGAAGGACGTTCAGCACTTGATCAATTCCTGTTATCCCTAAAAACAAAACAGAGAGATAGGGTCACTGCCAGCCAGGCCTGGCCTGGCCTTGGAAAGGAGCCCTGGGGTGAGCACTCATCGCCAGTCAGGGCAGTGCACACGAGTGTACATTCCTGTGGTGAATGTGAAGTAATAGTTTAAACTACAACGAAGACACAGTAATCAAAGAAAATTTGCTAACACTGGTGCCTAGACCATCAGTCTGACAGAGTGAAGTCACCTATAATAAAACACGCAGCCACTGGCGGTTGTTGTTTGCAGATAAAAAATAATATGAAAAATGACTGCATAAGGCAGAAAAAACTACTAAGTGACTAAGAAGACAACAAAAATATTTGTGGTATCTGTAAACAAGTTTTCAGAATCCTAAGTTACTAATCTGTGCTTAGCTTTAATTACAAACAATTGAATTTATAAAAATGTCTTTGTACGTATATGATTTACTCAAACCAATGCAGTTCATCCTCATTATTGGCAAATTCACCTGTACACTAAAATTTATTTGTAAGCCCCAAAGTGAATATTCATGGGGCTCTAAGTCACTCAGGGACAGACCCGGCACAGTGAGAACTGAGTCACCCAACACACATGTTCAAACAAGGTCCAACCGGCTGAGGTCAGACAAGATGGCACTCCGCCTTCTCATTGCAGGTCAGACTATACTCCTGTCAGCAGTCTATCGGTACCGCCTTTTTTGCATTTTTGTGTTTTGTTGGTGATTTCGCTGATTAAAATGGCCCCCAGTGTGGAGCTGAAGGGCCGTCTAGTGTTCCTAACTGCAGAAAGTCCATGATGTGCCTCACAGGGAAAATACGTGTTAGATGAGCTTCATTCACACATCGTTACGGTGCTGGTAGCCGTCCTCCCCCAGGAGCAACAGGTCAGGAACATTACCACGAATGAGAACTGATTGTACTGAATGTGTAAAGTGAATCTAAAAAATCTTTTAAAAAAATGTATTTATCTTTAGAGAGAGGGGAAGGGAAGGAGAGGGAAAGAAACATCAATGTGTTGGTTGCCTCTTGTGCGCCCCCTACTGGGGAATGTGGCCTGCAACCCAGGTGTGTGCTCTGACTGGGAATTGAACCAGCCACCCTTTGGTTCACAGGCCTGAGCTCAATCCACTGAGCTACAGCAGCCAGGACTTAAAAAAAAAAGAAAGAAAAATTGATTGTACTGTACATCAATTTTAATAATAGTCAAAAAGGTACAAAACAATCTGTATGTCCATCAATGAATAAATGGATAAACAGATTTAATATATACATACAATAGGACGTTACTTAGCTGTAACATTTTATTACAGGAATTTCATTTCATTCTATTAAAGGAATGAAATACTTATGCTATGTCATGCGTGAATCTTGTAAACATTATGCTAAGTGCAAGAAGCCAGACACTAAAAGACACACATTACAGGGATTCCATTTATATGAAATATACAGAAAAGTTCAGTTCGTAAAAACAGAGAGCAGACTGGTGGTTGCCAGGGACTGGGAGAAAGGAATGATGGGGAATAACTTCTTAATGGTTATGGAATTTTATTTTTGGGTAATAAGATTGTTTTAAAAACTAGATATGAGGTACTGGTTATAACATTGTAAATGTCCTAAAATGCCACTGAATTTTAAAATGGTTAATTTTATGTTATGTAAATTTCACTTCAAAAAAAAAAAAAAGGTCCCCAATTCTATGTAAAATGTCAGCAGCAATAGCTATTTCTTAAGATGGTTCCCCTTTCTTCATTCTTCATGACATTGGGGAATTAAAGAGGGAGTCTGAAAGGTTAACCTTGAATTCGAAGTAGCTATAATCCCTGTAGGAAAACAAGTATTTTAAAGTCTATAGAGTTTCAAGAAATCACATGCTTTAATACAGCCTTAGTCTGAGAAGTCAAAAGGTCTCCTGCACAAGCATTCTCCCACAGGAGAAGGTGCACTGGGAGGAGAGAGGCAGAGAGACCCGAACATGCCCACTAGACACGCGCGCACACACACACACACACACACACACACACACACACACACACACACACACACACCAGTTCACCTGAGAGTGCAAAGGACTCCAGACAAGCAGCAGCTAAGTGAGATTCAAATAAAATACACAGATGAACATTCGCCAAGACAATTCCTGAAGTTCCAACCCCCCCCGACTGATGACGAGCTGTCTGGAAACTGGTGGCTGTGGTTCTAACTACCTGCCAGGGTCCAGGGCCCGTGCTCCTTACCTGTGACAAGAGGGTTCTGTCGGAGGTAACTTGGAAGAACCAGCCCAAAGAAGATCGAAAATCCAAGCACGAAAAGGTTCCGGGAAGAATTTAAATCAATGAACTGCAGGTTAGAGAGTCCAACAGCTGTGATCATTCCTGGGGAGAAAACACCAGACGGCAAGTTGCAATAACTCACGTGGATGAGTTCACAGATGACAGGTGACTCGCAGCTGTCGAAGGCAGACTCCCTGCAGTGTCCTTTCTCCCATCATAAACCGGTCAGAAGACCAGTGCAGTGACAGGACGAGGGCACAAGCGGCAGGAGGGTGTCGGATGGGACCACCCAGGTTGCTGGGCTTGTTTGGGGGCATAAGCGTCACACTGCTGCAAGGTTTTCTCCAGACCAGGCAAAAAACTAAGGATATTGGTTCCTCCTTGAAACTTCTATACAAACATTTCTATCAAATTGGGAAACCCACCCAAATATCCGGTCCCCGACTATGACAACTAAATGGCACACAGACAGAATAGAGTCCCGCAGTAAAAATGGTCTATTTTAAACAGCCATATTCAGAAGGAAAGACAGGTTGAGTTAAATCACCAATTAAAAACCAATTTGAAAGATTACATGTCATCTTTTTTTTTTCCCTAGACCAAATATTTTACCTTTGGTTGTACCTTCAACAGAAATTCAACTGAGAGTAACATAGGGTTTTATGTTCTGAAGGCCTATCCTTTTGTGTGTTTATTTTTTAGAGTAGCTTTTGTAAAGTTTATAAGCACGTGTATGCAATTCTGAGCAATGTTTAGCCAAAGGCCCCCTGCCCCTCTTCTCTCTGTGAAACAGATTCAGCCCTGCTGAGTCCAAACATCTTGTGGGTCTGAATTTCCTGCTGACCCCTGACCTGCTAACGGGAGAGGCCTTCGACCCTACATCCGCCCCCAAACCCTCCAAAAATCCTGGCTGCAGAAGAGTGCAGGCACTCTCAACAGTCAGCTGCCCTGGCCTCTGCTCCCTGGTGACCGTACGAGAGGGCACTGGTCAGGGGTGCTGGTCCCTGGCCCACCCCGGGCGGCCGGGTCCCCTGACTCTAGAGGTCCCGGGCCCTGCTGCAAACGCCCTGACCTGGCATGTGTCTGGCGCCGAGAAAGGGGGCATCAGACTCCTTTTGTATTTTAAAATAGAAATTGTTACCGCTAATCTTACTGAAGAGATTTAGCAAAAAAACATAATCCCTATGAAAAATTAGCAAATGGGAAGAAATAAAATGAGCCTGAGGAAAGAATGGAACTTTACCGAAGAGAGTACAGAAGAGAGCACCAAGCACAGGATCCGGGAGGGAGGCGAAGAGGGCACTGAACTTCCCGATCGTGCCCAGGGCGAGCATGAGGGCGGCCCCGTACTGTATCACCCGACGGCTGCCGACCTGCAGGACGGACACATCAGAGGCAGGGGTTCAGTTCAACACACATTCTCCAGGCCCTTCAGGGCAAATGGGACAAAACCCTCACTCAAAATTTATATTACTTTTAAATTTTTTAGTTAAAAGGAATCAGTCGCATTTCATGATGAGGACTGATCTCAGTGCACAATTACTATAGATTATTATAAAGCACCCAGAGTAAAAAGACTCCCATCACCTTTCCTCATTCCCATCGGTCCCCTTCTCCTCCCCTCGACTCGGAGGAAAGGGACCCGGTCTGCTTCTCTGGGCCCTGGGTGCAGTCACCTCAGTGTGGACCTGCTCCTGCACTCAGGTCCTAGGTTTCTAACACCTGCGGGCACTGGCTGGGATGACCTTCGAGTGTCTCATATGCAAGATGCAAAAGCTACCTTTTGCGTGTGCTTCTCTTCTCTATTTCTAACATTACCCTTCACTCACCAAGTTAACCCACCCAATGCACTTTAGCCTTAATAATCCCATCTTCCTTGTACCCCAAATCAGACAAAACCCCCAAATGTTTCTGGAGCATCCTTCTCCTCACAGTGTCTTTCTCATTAGAGGTGGCACAGCCTAGAGGACAAGGTGCAGAATGCTTCAGCCCCACTGCCTGGCTGGCATCCCCATGCCACCTCTGCTGACGTGACCCGGCAAGCTTCTTAACCTCTGGGCTGCAGGATCCCCATCCTTACAATTCTGAACCTTGCAGTTTTATTTAAGAATTAAATATGAAGACGTATAAAATAGTTTGTACAGCACCCGGCATGCATCAGGCTATTTGATAGCCTCCCACCTGGGCCTGCTGCCTCTGGCCTTTCCTTGGTCCATCTACCCTGTGGTAGAAGGACCTTTCTAATACACTGATTTGGGAGGTCAGTTCCTTACACAAGTTCCCTGCTGCTTGTGAACTGAAACGCACTTCTCAGGCTCTTCCCACGGGAGTGAAGCCCACCAGTGAGCTCCCTGCCCTGCCCCAGCCATGCTGGGGGCTTACTGCCTGTCCCTCAGGGTACCAGGCAGGCCCAGGCCTGTCTGAAACACCCTTTTGCATCTCCCCCTTCTGGCTGGTTCCCAGACACATCCTTCGAAACACTACCCATGGCCTGTGAACCAAAGGGTTGCCAGTTCAATTCCCAGTCAGGGCATATGCCTGGATTGTGGGCCAGGTGCCCAGTAGGGGGGTGCGTGAAAGGCAACCATGCACTGATGTTTCTCTCCCTCTCCCTCTTCCTCCCCTCCCTTCCCCTGGTTAAAAATAAAATAAAATCTTAAAAAAACAACCCTATCCAAATGCGACCTCCCCTGCAAAGCCTTCCTTGATTCTAAGGTTACACCCCCCAACCCCCAACGCCTCTGCTCCTGCTTTGGCAGCACCACTCATCACTTCCACATCGTCTCAACTGTATCTGTTAAACCCGATCCCTGCCTTCTAGAAGTTCCCACCCAGCCCACAGCACCCAGGTAGTGGGAGGTGGAACTGGCACTGGGTTGAAGACTCTTGCATCCCGGGTACCACTCTGTGCTGTCTTTCCCAGGAAAACATCCAGAGGACATAGAAGAGGTTCCAGAATGTCTGGGAGAGTGTCCACAGGGCTTTAAGTATGACTTACAGTAAGGAGAGGATGACTACTTACACTTAAGTTAATTAAAGTGAAATGAAATGTAAGACCCAGTCCCTCAGTGGCACTTGTCACATTACAAGTGCTCCACAGGCAACTGAGGCTGGTGGCCCCCACGTGGGGCCACCCAAGTGCCACCACTGCACCAGAGTTCTGCGGGATGGGGCTGTCTGGAGTGTCCCTCCAGCAGCTTCTCTGGGAACCGGAGGATCAGCTGATTAGGAACCTCGCTGTGCAGACGGCTGTGCAGCCAGGACCCGTCCCCTCAGACTGGCACCCAGGCTCCACTGTCCCCACCCATGGCTCTTCCCACACAGCACCGAGCGCAGGGAAGCAGTGAACAGGGTGAGGAAACTGGCGAATCCAGTAAAACGGCCTATGCTTGGCTGTATCATGTGATAAGGAAACCTTTTGTTTATAAATGGCTCATTTTTCAGCAAGCATTTCTAAGGACCTACTATGTGCCTGACACTTGTTAGACCGGGGGTGAGAGGCAGATACAAAGATGAGTAAGTCACAAGCTTATGATGAAATTCATGTACTTTTGTGATTGTTCTATCGTGTAGAGGTGCCCAGTGGGAAGAGAAACTGCAGAGTTGATGAGGGGTCCCAGGAATGGTCTGAGGGATAAAAGGGCTCCCTGGAGAAGGAGCACAGAGCCCGAGGGAACCACCCGTGCGAAGACTGCCTCCCGGCAGGGTCAGGCAGTCCTGTTCGGTGTGCAGGGAGTGTGCTGGCCCCAGAAATGCCTGAAACAATAAATCCTGTAGGAAAACCAGGCAGATCTGCCTTAGATGCTGTTAAAAAAAACCCAAACAACAAAACACAAGCAGCAATGAGGCCATTCTTGTGTTCAACGAATATTAACTGAGTGCCGACCATACACTTACGTTTCCAAACACAGGTCTGAAATCCCTGCCTTCCAGTGCCGACACGGAACCTTTGTGCCTCCTTCCCCGCTGCCCACGCCCCTCTGACCTCCTTTCTGAACTTTGGCTCTGCTTCTAGGGCCATCGTTTCCAAGTTCCCAAAGGCTTTCAACAGTGTGGGATGCAGCAGAGGAGATATGATCTTCCTCTGGACACCCCCAAGGAGATCTACAGCCAGAGACAGTGTTTACTCTCAAGAAATAAACTTAGTGCTAAGTACTGAGGAAGAGATGAAGAAATAAAACACAGCCACAACAGTCAATCTGCTAAATTACTAAAATCAAGTTTGTTGAGGCACAAGGAAACAATTCTATTCCTGTTCTAATTGGCCCAGGAACTTAAACTTTTGGACTTTTCAGTCCTGCGTCAATGCCGGTAAATGCATCTGGACATATACCAGACCTCCAGACGACCCTCTGATTACGCCCTGAAGGCCTCGTATTCAGACCACCTGACATCCACTGTCCTGACGATGGGGTGTGACTACACCCTCTGGCACCTACCTTTCTGACCTCCTGCTATCTGACTGATACCCATCTTGGACCAATCCTGGGGCGAAGAGTGAAGGACTGAATGAATGGGAATGCAGGAATTCCCAAGACTGTACTTTTTACGGTAAGAACTGTTCATTTTTCTTTCTTCTTTAGAAAGCTTCTGGGTCTTTGCTTAGCTGTATCCCCACTTTGCAAATTCTAAGACCCCTGAATAAATCTTTATCATTTATTTCTAGCTCAAGCCTCCGAATGCTTTTTGAGTTCATTTGACGCTATCACATGAAGATGGTATCTACAGCTTACCAAGTACCCACCACATGCCGGATTCTGCTAAGTGCTTCACACCAAGTTACTAATTCCAATGCCTTGCATGCTATCTTGTTAACAAGGGCATGGAGACTCAGAGGTACGATGTCACACTGGGAGGAAGTGACGGAGCCAGGGCTGGACCCAAAGCGGCCACTTCCCCCAAGTCTGCCCCTCTCTGTGGGACAGACACTGGTACACACTCAGCAGAGAAGTCCTGCACATGCAGTCTGACCCCTCAGAACTTCAAAACACAGCAGGGTGAGCTGCCTGCACGCCTGATCAAGCAGATTAGAACTTCCACGGACACAGAAAGCCACAACTGGATAAAGAATAGCAAAGGTGAGAGTTGCCAGAAATGGGAGGCGGATTCTTTGAAAGAGCCACAGACCACCCTCTTTCCATATGCCCTGGGATTCTGACATTAGATAGAACTTTCTGTACTGATGAAAACATCCTGGCTGATCTATGGCAATTATTAGCCATGAGTGACCATGAGCTCCTGAAATATGGCTACTGTGACTGAGGAAATAAATGTTTTGTTTTAACTAATGTAAACTTGAAGAGCCACGTGTAACAGGACAGATCTAGCTCTAGAACTGCCGGATTTCAGACCTCAGTTCTACTCAAGAAAGTGACTTGTCCCACATCCTTCAGCTGGACAAGAGGCAGAACACAGCCCATAGCTCGTGCCTCCTCTGGACAGGATCTCCCACCAGCTGCAGGGCCCAGGCCACAGAGAAATTTCTGCTCAAGTCCCACTTGCCATGCAAGGCAGCTGCGTAGATGGCTGGCTGACACCATCTGCATGAGGCATGGACACTGATCGCAGGATATAAACGCCCCCAGTAGATGCAGGGATGTAAATGCCCCCAGCAGACGCAGCCTCTGCCTGGGAAAGGGATCCAAAGGGTCCAGAAGGAAAATCGATTCAGTTCATCGAAAAGCCCTGGCAGGCTGCCTCTCAGAATAAGTTGGCACCATTCAGACGGAAATAGAAATAATTACTCCCCAGACCACTCCCATCCTGTTTTAGACGGGAACCCCAATGAGCAGCACCACTTACTTCCCACAGCGACCCTGCCCCTGGCGGGTTTCAAAGGGGTACAGAAAGGGAGCTGGCTTATCAAAATGTCTTCCCCTAAGAAAGAGTCCCTCCATCTATGACAATTTTACATTGATGTTATTTCACATCAGTTATATGTCTACAGGTTCATGCAGCAGACTGGTTAAAGAGCAAGTTGCTTATGCCCCACTCTGCATTCTCAGCATCCGGTTCTCACCACGGGCAGCAACAGGACCCAGGGGCAGCACTGGAGGAGGTGCCCATCAGCAGCCCTCACATACCCTGCGCAGAGTACCAGGCACCAGGTGGGGCCATCTGCACATCCGGGGCCGAGCTCTGTGCTGGCACCGACAGCTCACAGAAAAACCAACTTCAGGCCTGTGCTGTGTGTGCCCTGCTCCTTCTCCCCTGGATTTACAGCCAAGATTAACCAAACTTAGCTAGTACTGGGTTTCTCCTTATCTGGCTGTAGAACCTCAGAGAGCTATGGGGAGGGTTTCTCATTTCACAGAGGTGAAACAGTTCTAGAAGGCTCCAGCTTACCCCCGAGATCTCAGGACACAGGGCTCAGGAGAGGGAGCCCTGTGGCCCATGCAGGCTGCCCAGGACAGGGCATCCACTCTAACAGTCTCTAGCTGCACAGCACACAAGGGCCGGGGGCCGAGCTGCACTACTGAAACCTGGCAAACAGCACGCTTTGGCCTAGACTAGCAGTTTTCATTCAATCAGTGTGCCGTGAGAATTTTTATAGCATGCAGTACTTAATTATATTTAGTCAGAGGCACTGACCTGTATTCCCTTAGGTTTTCAAATTAAAAAATGACAACAGCAAACACAACAATAGCTGTCCAATGTGAATGAATCAAAATTATACCTATTTTTTGGTCAGACTGACAAAATATGTATTTTTTGGTGTGTTGCAGAATTTTAGTAAAAAAGGTTGAAAATTGCTGCCCCCAAACAACCAGGATATAAAGTTTATTTGTTACTAACACATTTGAAAGTCCTAGAAGCAAGCGCCTTCATACAGAGGCTGAACTGTGAGGTGGGGCAGCCCCAGGGTCACGTGTCTGTGTTTGAAGGTGGGTCAGGAGAAGGAGCAACAGGTCACAGGCCCTGTTCAACCTGAGTGACTTGCATGGCTTGTCTAATCCACTCATTTTACAACTGATATCATGTAAAAGAGAAGAGTTCCGGTGCTACCATTTGAAAACCATGTTAATTCTTTACTAGAAGATCAACTTTTTTTCCTGTAACAAGTGGTATCATCTCTCATCTAGAACTAATGCCATCTCCTAACTGGACTTCCATTTCCACCTCTTCCCCCACCTGCCAGGGTCTACTCTCATTATAGCGGCCAAGTCATCCTTAAAACAAAAACAAAACCATATCAAATAGCCTCCTCCCGGGGCACCGCCCCCACTCAGTCTCTGCTGCCTCCAGGGCCCTTGCTGATCTACAACAGGCTGTCCTGCCACCACAGCGGCCTCGCTCTGGCAGCTCCCCGGCCCGAATGCCCACTCCCCAGGCATCTGCACAGCTCCCTCCTGTCCTGGCTTCCTTCAGACCTTAGCTCCAGGCCATCTTCTCAGCTAGGCTTAGCCTGACCACCCCGTTTAACACTCACCCTCACTTCCCATCTCCCACCCTGCCCCACGTTTGTATCATATTTAGAATGCTTACTGCTTATTATGTGTTTCCTCTGCTAGAATGTAAACTCCACAGTGATGGGGATATTTTTCTTTTTTATGCACTGATGGATGTACCCCAAGTCCCTGAAACAGCAGGACGGCACAGGGTTGGGGTGCCCCCCCAAAATGTGTAGAATGCAGGGGGGCATGCTAGCACCCGGTGCCAGGGGTCCCCAGGCCCCCTGAAGGGGCAGAGACCCCCACCAGCACTCCAGACACCCCTCGACAAAAAAGGGAGACGAGGGAGACGATCTGAGAATTGAAGGCCTTCCTTGTGGAACTCAGGTGGTCAGACCAATTAATGAAACAGATCAACACCTAGTGGCCCAACCATTTAATTAGAAAAATTTTGTACCTTAGTAATTCCCAAAACTCCAATGTTGGGACTGGATGAAGTAGAGCCATTCCCAGTACCAAATATGCCATCGAGAACACAGGAGAGACCCTCCACGAAAATCCCCCTAAAATGTAAAGGAATGGGGCAAAGAGAACATTCATTCAATGGGGGAACACTCTGGAATATGCTCTAAATGGCTGTGACCCGAAGGTCTGGTCTGGAGATTTATCACCTCCACAGACACTGGGAGGGGTGAGCAATGCCAAGTCTCAGGCCCCACTCCAGACCACTGTGCTCATTCAACTTTGAAAAGCACCTCTGTGAACCATGAATTAGGCAGTTTTTAAGTAGTATTCCAAATTAAAGGATTTTAGCCAGAGAAATGGCCATTTGTTGGGACCTAAGACAAATATGAACTGTCTACTGATTTGATTCCTTTGCTATTAATATATAGTTTCATCAGGAAGGGCATGCTTTGTGATTGCACAGTGATTACACTGTGATTACAGTGTGTAAACATGGACACTTCTTAAAAAGAAATCAACATACAAGTATTTTAATCATGTGCGACAGCTCAACTGGAGAAAGATATAAAAACATGACTGTAAACCCTAACAGAACCAATGGAAGAAATGCTAAGAAACCAGCCCACTGGATCTCATCGCATGCAATCCCTTTTAGAGGGGCAACAGTGGGGTGGGAGCGAGGTGGGGGGGGGGTGATCTGGGTCATTTGATCTTCTCTGCAGACTCCAGAGTCCAATTCACTCCTGGCACCCAGAAACTAAAGACCAGGTGTGCTGAGAACCTTAAGGCCACAGTTCAATACCTCAAGATTCTGAAGACTTCATTTATTCCTGCTCTCATCTATTTATATGAATTGTAATTGTAAACAGATGGCACAGCATCTACTCCTTAGAACAGCTGGGGAAGCGAGAATAAAGGGGACGTGCCCCAAACCAGTGTGGCTCAGTTGGTAAGGCGTTATCCCGAAGGCAAAGGATCGCTGGTTTGATCCCCATCTGGGGCATGTGCCTGGGTTATGGGTTCAATCCCTGGTTGAGGGACATGCAAAATGCAAACAATCGATGTTTCTCTCCCTATCTCCCTCCCTTCCCCTCTCTTTAAAAATAACTAAAATCTAGCCCTGGCTGGTGTAGCTCAATGCATTGAGCGCGGGCCTGTGAACCACATGATTGCAGTTTGATTCCCAGTCAGGGCACATGCCTGGGTTGCAGGCCGGTTCCCTGCAGGCCAGTTCCCAGCAGGGGATGCACAAAAGGCAACCATACACTGATGTTTCTCTCCCTCTCTCCTTCCCTTCCCCTCTAAAGATAAATAAATGAAATCTTTAGAAAAAAAAATTATTAAAAAAACCTAAAATCTTAAAAAAAATAAAGGGGACATTCACCCATGTCCCCAAACCAAGCAAAGAACAGCAGCAGTGTCTGGCATGTGTTGGCAAGTTTAAGGTCTACAGTGGCCTCAGAGAGGGTCTCATGTGATTGTCACTGTGAGAAACAGGGTGAGAATTCTGCTCAGTGTCACAAACGAGCAAGATGAGGACAGCGGCTTGTCCAAAGACAGAGAGCCAGTGAAGAGCTCTGAGGCTTGGCTGCCTTTCTGCTGAAACTCCTGGTTTCCTCTCCAAGACTAGACAAACCGAAGAGCAGAGTAATGAGGTGCTAGGCCCGATGAAAAACTCATTCTCTCGGGATCGTACCTGTTTATTGCGTGGATGGGAGGCGGTGGTGCACAGGACAGCCTCGCACAGGCGTAGTAGTCCCCGATGGACTCGATGATGCTGGCGACCACGGCACTGAGCATGCCGATGACGCCAGCTGCGGAGACGGTGGGCAGTCCCCACTGAACTGCGGAAGGAAGACAAACGTGAAATCCTCGCTTTCTTGGGGCGGGGGGGGGCAGGCAAAAGTGATCAGATACCAAGTCATTCAGGACATCTGAGGACTCCACAAGATCAACTCAGATTTTGAAGCTCATGGATACTTTATTTTAAACCTTCATCCCCAATGGCTAGATGCCTCGGAATAGCTCCTGAGTCAGATGAAACTGGCCATAATCAGGACTGGTCTGCTCTATGTCCTAACTGAAAAGAAACTGTATGGCAGAAAGAGGCTGGTCCTTCTCTTCCTGCTTTAAAGCCAGTGTCTAAATTACAATCTAAACAGCCTGCTGTGTTGGGTCGGAAATGTGTATGAGGATTTTAACCCCGCTGTACAAACCACTGGTGCCCTTCTCTGGGGGTGGCATAAAATAAAAAAAGCAGTGAAAAGTCACCAGCTAAACTTAAACCCCAACAGTAAAGTGTTGCACAAGGTACAGGTAACCCTTCTCTACTGTTACAGCAGTTCTTTTATATTTAGTGAACCAAGTAATGGAAAATTAAATAGTTTCCTTTAAGAAAGCCAAGAGAAATCCCCAAGCAGCTTCATTTTGAGTATCTGGATTTAGTTAATTCTTCATTTGATATACTTTTAAAGAAAAAAAAAACCCTCTCTTTTAGACTTTCAAAGCCACAGATCCCATTTAATAAAAGTAGCATGAGGAACAGTCACTGTTAGAGTGAACAGACTTCTTTGATAAAGTACCTAGACCTTCTTGTCCTAAACCATCCGTTTTAAAAAGCACAGTAGAAAACGGAAGATGGACAGATAAAGTGGGTCTCCTGTGTGGGGTCAGCAGGGCAGTTTGGGAACAGATGCGGGATGATGCGGGAACAGTGTAAGGGTGAGACCTCTAAGGAAAACAACCCAAAGTGAGTCACAATGAGTGCAAGTCAGGAAGTCAGGAGGACAGTCCCTGTCCAGGGAGGGGCTGGAGGGCAGGAGCTGAGGGGACAGGGCATCCTGGGCAGGCAGCAGCCTGCACATGAGCAGAAGGGCAGGACTAGGCAGGCACACAGGGATGGGCCAGTGCTCAGCAGAGGGCACGTGTGATGTGGGGCAGGCAGGTTTAGGAAGGGCTCCACATGCCACATCCAGGCACTTGGCTTCACAGGTAAAAGGGAGCAACCTCAGGTTTGAGAACAAAAAGTAACACATGAAGTTAAGATGAGCAGAACCCTCATATGCCTGGAGTGTGTATGAGAACAGAACTGCTCCCACAGGCTCACGGCCAGAGGGTCAAGATGTGCATCAATGGACACGGCTCAGCAAGCTCTGTGTCCGCCAGCAACGGGCTCCATCAACATCTCATCTCCGGGTGGGTTTGGAATAAATTTTTCTCATGTAGGTGATTTCTTTCACAAACAACACTTTGTATTTTCTAAATAATCTTTTATATGGTTACCTTGTTGCTGATGTCAAGTTGTGGCTTCATTCTAGTGTCTTGATTTAGGGGAAGGATTCTTATTTTAATTTGCCATTTACTAATTTTCAGATAGTGTTACTTTTCTAGTCTCTTTATTCTTACTGTTTTCCATTATTTTCCCCCTTGTACCTGAAGCCCTTAACTTTGATTTATAAAACCTTTACTCCATCTACTGTTCTTCAGCATTTTAAATTTATAATCTTCTCAATTATGAACACCATTTTCTTCACATTGTATGTACATTTGAAAACCTTGCTTGCTTCAGCCTTCTCTGTTTACTGTTATTTCATCTCTCCCCTCAACTAGAACCTTTAATTTGTGTTGTCACTTTACAGCACGGTTCTCAACCTCAGCACTGTTGACATTTTGGACCTCAAATCTGTATTTTAACAATCAACCCAAGTAAATTTTAGCATGCTAAAGACAGAGACATATATGAAAACTGATCTCCAAATTAACTGAAATCATTGGAGTACTTAAGACTACCTCCTCCTGGCTTTCTGGGGTAGCCACTCCCAGGGGCGCTCTGCCACCAGAGCAGCTCATGGCAGTGAAGGGCTGTCATGAGCGGGAGCCAGGCAGCACGGTCTCTTAGCGCCTGCACAGCTGCCTCTCCGGTGGCTGTGTGTGCTCATCACAGGAGCCGCCCAGCATGCACTGCAGGGCTTCCTCCCGCCTGCCCTCCCAGGTCTCCTCCCGACTACTTCAGCAATTGACTTTTAACCTCATTTTATGTTGGGTTATATGTATATTTATGAACTATGCATTTTTTTTGAAAAAAAAAAAAAAAGAGGTAGATATAAATACATACTTAGACCACATGACCCAATGAGAGTGTTTATTAGAAAGACTACACTTTTTAAAGTGTTTATAAATGTGTCAGGAACAGAAGGGACAACTGCTGACGTTGCCCTCATTTAACACACTTAACAACAGTTGTCTCTGACCCCTTCTTAATTAATATTCTTGGCTTTTCCTGCTTTCTCTCCTTGTTATTATAAAATGTGAAGATGTCATCACTAAACAGGGGAATAAATTAGCACACCCTGACTAAGCTCAGGCTTTGGTTCTAATTAAAATCCCCAAATGCCAGAACAGAGTCCTCACAGCAGCAAGCACCAATAAGCACTAGGTTCACATGAGTCACTTTGGGGGAAGAATCTAGAAGGTGGTAAATGTAAATCCAAATGATACCTCACCAGGGATTGCCCTCCCATCCACCTTACCAAGACTTATCCAATACTTAAATCTTAAGATACATCTTCCACCCATTTGTGAATATCAGTTTACTTGATAGCTGTGACCAAATTTAAAAAGAGATTATGGCTCCCCATCAAAAGATTATACAAATTCATCATCCTTGAGCAGTTTGCTTGCTAATCTTCAGGCCCCTCCCCCTCAAGTCAGGTGCCTAAGCCCTGTGTAGCTAACTCTATACTTGTATTTCTAAGCTGCTGCCCTTAAATCCCAGCCGCCTGATCTCAAAGCCCACAAGAGACCTGTTGTCCAGGATTTCACGCTAGTGGAACCAAAAGAACCAACCAGTTAATCTGAGAAGGGAGCTGGTTTGTCTCTGCACATTAATTATGGTCCTCCAGTGACAGGGCCTCCCTTCCTCTCTGGGGGTTGAATGCTCTAATAACCAGAATGGTAAGACCTGCAGGGACAAAGAAGGCTTTTCCTACTGCAGAGCCTTCTGCCAACTTCCAACTCCTCTAAGTTGCCCTCGTGAGCTCCTGCCTGCTCTGGCCCCCAGAATACTTACACGGGTACGGGACCTTAAACCACGGAGCTACCAGAAGCACACCCTGTCTGGCATCTGTCCGAGCATAGAAGCCATATTTGTTGCTGTCAGGAGGAAAGACATCAGTCACTGTGAAGATGAAGCAGAGCAGCCAGGACACAAGGATGGCCAGGATGATCTGAAGCGGACAAAAAAAAAACAAAACTCTGTCAGGCTACAGAGGTGGTGGTTGCTGGCAAAACATGTGCCTTTCTACAGTCTGAGTATCACACCCTAGAACCCACCACTGTTAGTATTGCACTCAAAAAACCTGTAACGGATCTGCTGAAAACCTATTCCTTGAATGGAAGCACATTTAGAGAGAGCAGTTTAATGCAGCTAATATTACTTTAACCCTAAGTCTGGCTGGTAAAATATGGATAATGGACAAGGTGCCTGCAGAGCTCCCCCATCCCGGGTTCAGTCAATGTCCTCCTAAAGGATTTCAGAATCAGAAGCTTCTACCACTCTAACTTGAAATCCATGACAATTGGGTGGCCATTAGTACCCCAACGTCACCACACAGACATGGTTGCCTCACCGCAGCCCAGCCCAAGGAGACCTGCTTAGAACCCTCCTTTCACATAAACATTGTACACAATGAACTAAGGGCAGTATTGTTGGGAGAAAAAACATGTAAGTACTTACAGGAAACATTTTGAAAAGCTGCAACTTGTACGCAGTCCATCCTTTCTTGGATTTGTAAATTGGGAGAGGAAATTTAACATTTCTAGCATATTGAGAAAACAGTAATACTAAGAAAATTGTCCTGAGGAAGAAAAAGAAAATAAACTAGTTTAAAAGCTATATGTCTGCATTTTAAAATATTACTCAAAGCTTTAATGCCAAAGTGATCACATATGTTCAACTTATTTCTTAGCTGCTTGTCCTCTTAACTATTATTTGGGAAATCATATCTTTTATAAATGCCATTTTTGGAAAAAAATATCAGAACCTTTTTTCTTAGCATTTCTTGATTCAGAAATGAGTTACCATGGAAGTGTTTTGGCTAAGTTTCCCTTAATAGAGTAAGAAAACCCAAAGGACATACACACTGACAGGAAAAGCTCATGCTCTGTAAGGGAAAAGACCGGCTGTCAGATACAACGTAGAGCAGTGTGGTTACAACTACGAATTAACTAAAAACAAGCAACTACCGCACAAGCGTGTGTGTACACAAACACACACACATGTACATGCAAACACTAAAATGGGGTCCAAAATGCTCACAGAAACTGGCCTCAAGTGTTAATATGCAACTTTCTTCTACTTTTCTGTATTTTCTGATTTATTTATAAAGAACATACATTACTTTTTAAAAGGAAAAAGCTTCAACATTTAAGAAAGCTATATGCAGTAGAATTCGATATTAATAATAACATTCCTGAGGTTGGTGTGTCAGACATTGCGTGAAGGTCTTCCCACCTGTCACCTCAGCCTCTGCAGTAGCTTCTGCGATCATCTACTTTAGAGAGACAAAGCCCACAGTCTGAGACCACAGAGCTAGAGTTTGCAGGGTGGGTGGGCCAGGGAGCTAGCACCCTACAGCTTGGACTCCAAACCACTTTGTGACATGGGTCCTAAGTGCTGGGACACCTGGGCTGGCTCGGAAGTCCCTTTACCCTGAGCCCTACTCTCCTGACCCAGCTGCAGTGAGGGCTACAGGAGGCAGTGATGTCAGATGACTTTCCTGCAGCAGGACCTGTCATCCTCATCAGTTCAGTGTCCTGAGTGTGCAGATGTGGGATGGCTTCCCATCATTGAAACAATAAAGGCATAACACAATAAACACAATAATGTGTTTCATCATCCATCGGGACACACTCTTTCACCTACAACCCAAGGTAGAATTGGCAGGAGACTGGGTTCTCTGTCAAAGCTAAGCTTAGTTGTTTCCAGGCACGGTTCCAACGGCTGAGAAGGAATTATCAGCTCCACTGACAGCTGGTCAAGTGCAGTTTCACTGTCATGTTCCTAATGAAGTGCAAACTGCGGCCAGCTGGAGAACAGGCCTGTGCCGCTCCACTGTCTCCCCGCCTCTCGGGTGCTTTGTAGGCCTGGTGATGGGGGTCTCTGCCCTACCACAAAGTCACCAGGCCAGTACAAGTTCAAGGTTAAAAACATGAATAGTGTTCATCAGGTTATTCCAATTTCCCTAGGGAGGTGCAGTTTAACAACAACACAATGAGAGACACTGAAAGTGGTTTAAACTTATACCAACATGAAATTTTCATGTTTTAAAAAATGCTATTAAACTTCCAGTCAAGATGGAAGTGTAGATAAGACAGGCTTTACCTCCTAGCCCAACCACAAAAAGAATTACAACTAAATCTCAAAACAAATAATCCCAGAACTGCCAGAAAATTGAACTGTATGGAAGTCCGACAACCAGGGATCTAAGGAAGCCACACTCATCCAGATGGGCAGGAGGGGTGGGGATGAGGGGATGAATGGAGAGGCAAGGAGATGCAGCATGGTGCAGAGAGGTGGCGGCGGAACAGACATAAGCGGTCCCACACTCACGTATGGTGGATAAAAATCAGAAAGGAATCTTGGGAGCAAGCCATCCCAGCCCCAGGCCAGACCACACAGTACAGGGAAGATAAATCCACGTAACTTCTGGCTATAAAAACCAGTGGGGGTTGGGGTGGTAGAAGAAAGTGCTGGATTTTCAGGCCCTTGAAGGGCCTGCACAATCTTAGAAGGTATACAAACCCACCCACTCTGGGATTTAGCATCAGGGCAACAGCTGGAAGGGCACCAGTCACATATAGGGTAGTGCGTCAGGTGACTGGAAATGGGGTCAGTGCCAGGCAACCCTCCAGATGCTAGGCAGCAGCACAGTCCCCTCCTATACAGACACAAAGCAGTGAAGCATGTTGATCTGCTTTGGCAATTACCTAAGGCTCCACCCCACACAGTTTACAGGTGCCTTTTCCACAATAGGCCATACTACTAAGACAAGGAGCCAAATCAGCTCTACCTAATACACAGAAACAAACACAGGGAGGCTGCCAAATTGAGGAGACAATGAAATATGGCCCAACTGAAAGAACAGAACAAAACCCCAGAAAAAGAACCAAATGAAATGGAAATAACCAACTTATTAGATACAGAGTTCAAAACACTGGTGGATCAGGGTGCTCAAAAAACTCACTGAATGCATCAACAACATAAAGGTAGAAATAAAGGTTACACAAAGAGAAATACAGAAAAATCTACAGGGAACCAACAGTGGAGGGGAGGAAGCCAGGATTCAAATCAATGATTTGGAACATAAGGAATAAATAAGCATTCAACCAGAACAACAAGAAAATGATTCAAAAAAGATGAGAATAGTATAAAGACCCTCTGGGACATCTCCAAACATACTAACATCTGAATCATACAGATGCCAGAAGGAGAAGAGGAAGAGCAAGTAATTGAAAACTTATTTGGAAAAAAATATGACTGAAAACTTCCCTAATTTGGCAAAGAAAATAGACATACAAGTCCAGGAAGCACAAAGAATCCCAAACAAGTTGGACCCCAAGAGGACTACACCAAGACACATCATAATTAAAATGCCAAAGGTTAAATATAAAGAGAATCTTAAAAGGAGCAAAAGAAAAACAGAGTTACCTACAGGGGAGTTCCCATAAGACTATCAGCTGATTTCTCAAAAGAAACTTTATAGGTAAGAAGGGACTGGCAAAAAATATTCAAATTGATGAAAAGCAAGGACCTACAACCTAGATCTCTCTACCCAGCAAAGCTGTCATTTAGAATGGAAGGGCAGATAAAGTGCTTCCCAGACAAGGAAAAGCTAAAAATTTCATCATCACCGAGCCGTTATTATATGAAATGTTAAAGGGACTTATCTTAAAAAAGATAAAAACTATGAACATTAAAAGGGCAATAAATACACAACTATCAACTGAAATTTAAAAACAAAAACAAAAACCCTACATTAACAACCAGAACAGGAACAGAATCACAGAGACGGAGATCATTTGGACGGTATTCAGCTGGGAGGGGCTAGGGAGAGAATGGGGTAAAAGGTGCAGGGATTAGGTAGAGTAATTGGTAGGTACAAAACAGACAGGGGGACGTTCAGAACAGTATAGGGAATGGAGAAGCCAAAGAGCTTGTGTGCACAACCCACGGACATGAACAAAATAGACGGGGGCGGGGAGTACTGCCAGAGGAACAGTGGTACTGGGTGGAGGGGGGCAAAGGGGAAAAAATGGGACAATTATAGTAGCATAATCAATAAAATATACATAAAAATGCTATTGATTTACTTCAAAGTGAACACTCTGAGATCCAAAAAGGCCCTGAATCTGCTATTTTTATCGTTATTTTAGATGACAACCCACCTGACAATTACACCTGCTCTGTGGTATGCACTTTTCAGAGCACATTTAAAAAAGGAGAGATATACACAGAACTTGGGCCCAGATCTGGTGGTGCAAATTAAGTGAGTGGACTGGACAGACGGGCACTCGCTTTCTTCCCCACTCTTAAATCCACCTGCTTCTAATTTATGCTCATCCTCAAATATACCACATTTTGCTGTGTATAATGTGCACTTTTCTGTCCAAATTTTTAGGGAAAAATCAGGATGTGCTTTATACATCAGTACTGCTAATTCTGTATCTATATAAATGTTTTTAATTCTTTATAAAATTTCTTGTACCTTGTATTTGTTCAAAGATAAATGCTAAACTTCCTTTATTATTAAAAAAAACAAGAATCTAAATATAAATAAATAAAAGGTTGAATTAAAAAATTAAAACAAAAAAATTTTCCCTGGAAGTTTGGGCCCAAAACGTGGGTGTGCACTATACATGGGAGCACATTATACACGGCACAGCGAGGGGCCTGTGGGGCAGGCGTCCCACAGCAGAGGCAGGAGATGGGGGATGTGCCTGTGTTCACACCCCTTGGGTGACCAGAAAAGGGAGCAGGATCTGAGCTCCAGATCCTCAGGCCACAGCTCCATCCACCACAGCTGGCTCTTTCCACTTCATGTTTCCATACTGCTTGCTTGTTGACCTTTCTTTTACCTTACAAATATTATTCAAGAAATACATACTAAAATACAGGAAAGTTATACAAGGAAGAAAAGCAAAAAGACAAAATCCTTAAGATTACTCATCATCCCATCACTGGTGACGACCATGCAGCATTCTGGTCTGTTAATCCCAAAGGACTCCCATTATGGGGACATTTATGGATCATCCTGGGGTTGGAGAGGGAGACAGGACTGCCTGTCGTCATCCTTGCCCTCAGAGCACAAACAGGTCCTCATCTGACTCAAAGTGTAATCGTGCTTTACATGCCACTTCCCAGCCAGCTTGGAGCCCCCGTTCATGCCATGACATGGACAGACGGAGCTTGGCACCAGCATCTCGGTGGCTGCACCGCACTCCGTCTCACGGACGTGGTGCGTCCTCTCTGACAATTCCCATTGGTGCGGCCCTGGGAGCAACAGAAACTGACAGACTGCTCATCCCGGCAGCACCTGCCTGAGTATCTCCTCATGGTAAGTTCCTAGGCCCATAATGGACCTGTCAAACAGTAAATAACTTCCTTAAAAGCTTCTGAAACAAACTGCTAAATATGTAGAGAAAAGTTGGGTAAATGTACAGGGACCAAGAACACTTATTTGCTACTCTAACATAGGGTCTTACCATACTTTTAAATCTCTACCAATTTTATCAATTTTAAAAACCTTTTCATGCTTTATTTTAACATTTGTTCTTTACATATGAATTACTTAGTGCA